TAGTTGTGAAGCAAAAACGCTGAAACCGGAGAAATGAAACGATAACGACGACCAGAGTCTCCGGATCGTTGACTCTTGCTGTCCTGTGAACAACATCTGCGTGGTGTTAACTGTTTGCAGTTTCCGCGATCGCGTCGCGCGTGAGGACATCACCAGGTAAACTCGCCACATTTTAAACATCTTGTTGTTCAACAGCATCCAGACTGACGGAGCGTGTTTGAGATAACCGCACAGGTGTCACAGGTGACACATCTGGCGTGTTTTTGCTGGTTTGTCGGTAGCAGCTCCTGAAACTCTGCCGCACATCTGTTCGACCAACGCCAGCTGATCTAAGCGCCAGTTCATCTGGAACACCGGCCTCAGGTGAGCTACCTGCCGCTGCCGGCCCGTCTCTCTGACACCTGCACGCGCGAACGGGAGGAACTCACCTGCTGCAGGTACGCGTCTCGCTCACGTCGTCGTCTTCTTCTCCACGGCTGTCTGAGCGCAGCGTCTTTCTTACCGAGCTCCTCCTCCTCTGATGACACCAGTTCTCCTCCAATCACAGCCCAGCTCCCCATGAAGGAGGCGGGGGTAGGCGTGCTGCTTTCAGGTGCTGTAGGAAATATTATATTTAAGGCGAGGCGTGACCTTTAACCTATGATAAAGCAGTTTTCCTGTGATGGGAGCGGTCTGTAAAACTTTATTAGTGAGGAGTAAAAGAATATAATTTTTTAAAAACCGATCAGATGATGGTAAATTACCTGTATTTGTATAGCACTTTGCACATCCAGTCAGAGGGCAGGATGTTGAAGAGGTGGAGGTTAGGATGGAGGTGGTGTTTTATAATCGCCCTCTGTAGAGACATCAAGAGCTGACAGTTAAGTCCAGAGGGGGGAGTGGGCAGCCGATCAGCTTCTCTGCAGTTCTGATGACCGTCTGTAGTCTCTTCTTATCGGCTGTTGTGTAACCAGCGTACCACACAGTGATGGCGTGCACCAGCACGCTCTCCACAGTGGTACAGTAGAAGGACACTAGGAGGTCAGTCTGCAGCCTGTCCCATCTCAGGACCCTCAGGAAGTGGAGGCGCTGCTGGGCTTTCTCCACCAGCGCTGATGTGTTTGTGGACCAAGATCGGTCCTCAGATCTGTGGGTGCCGAGGAACTTAGAGGAGGACACCCTCTCCACATTTCATGGAGAGGGGAGGGGGATCAGCTTTTCTTCTTCTCACCTTCATAAACCTCATTTAAGTGCTGGAACGTTTACTGTGCAGACCTGATCTAAAACCACGCGGCTGATGTGACATCATCATCAGTGAATGTGGTCAAACAGGACCTGCGGCGTCTCTGCAGCGCACGCTAGCATTTCTCAGTGTTTTTAATCCTTCGTGACTTCAGAAATCTCTGCGTGAACACAGCGTCTGCTGTTGGTCTGTAACCGTCGCGTCGTGGATCCGTCACAGTCTGAATGAACTCTTTCACTGGTCAAAACGCCACAAAGTGCATTGTGGGTAAACCTTCCAGCCCTGATCAGTGCAGCTCTGTGAGGGTTACAAAATCTGGTTTTATGAAACATCCACCAAAGTTCCTTCTTTTCTACAATGTTCAGAAACACTTCATAACACAGCTCGTGATTCACATGATTTACCTGCTGAACTCAAATACACCAGAGAGAGGCCGACGCTCCACCTGCACATTATACTGTCATCGTGATGCAGCATGCATGTAGGAGAGGGCGTGGTGGTGAAGCAGAGCTGCTGACCTGCTGTGACTCAGCACGACTTCATGTCGCTCTCTGCCTCGTGCTGAAACTCGGCTGA